TAGCTCGGGCATCTTTCCAAGGTTTCCAGATATCATACAGCCGCGACGTTGATGCCCGTCACAAAGTGCGAGCTGCCCTTTATCTTTGTCCGGTGCAGACCGTCCAACACCTTGCCAATGTCCGTTGTCAGGGTCGTGAGGATCTCCGGTGTGTTGCCTCCCATGCTCATAAGACCGACGGAAGACTCTGGGTTTGCACCAGTCTTTGCGGAGAAGATCATGTTCACGGCGTCCTGTTGTGCTTCCCATCGCGAGGGTACATAATCGCCGTTTCGACTAGCTTCGCTGTTGTCGACGCTGTTCGAGTTAGCATATGATCGCCGAATCAGTGAGAGTAGCCGTACACTATCATAGAAGCTTCTAACACCATCTTGCAAATCGGTTGTATGTGGGGTTGAGGTGATTGTTTGGGTAGTTGCTCGGATCGACGGTAACGTTATGATGCTGAGCTCAAGGTCGCCGCAACGGAGGACGGAGGCTGGCCATCGAACCGCCGAGATCACGTGCAAGTCTGACCGCGACTGCGGGAGGCCGTGCGGAAGCAAGGGTGAGTCGACTCAGATGGCGTTTGCGACACCTGTAAACTGACTCGCGCAATTCAACATTGAATATTACTCCAATTCTCGAGCGTTGCGTTGCAATTATTGTTGCGCAGGCTGCCATATAATTATGATGTTCATGCTCGCCTCGCACATGACTGGTTACGATGCTGCAGGCGCTATGCTGAAATGATTGGGTGCCCTTGGCGCGCTGGCGTAAAGACAGACCTCAGACCCTCCATCCTTCCTTCCTCACACATCCCACTCGAGAATCTGAAGCTGCGACCAACACTACCCGCAACTACACCAAAATTGCTCAGAAACTCTCCGAAACTGCCGCAAAAACATCAGAAAGTCTCAATAAGTCTCTTGCACTACTCTGTTCTTCTCCCCAGTTTACTTGTCGCGCCTTTTCTCGCGTTGTTTACTGTTCTTCACGACTCTCAACTTTCGGAAGCTGCAACCCTCTTCCACCATCACCACACCTGAGCTGCTCAGAACCCGTTAGGAGTTCTTCGAAAGTACCAACAAGTCTTTCTTGCTTGCTGCCACTCCTCTTTACAGCCGATACCCATATCACCGCTGTCGACGCGTTGTCCACCACTACAACGCGACTATGAACAACATCCAAGACGGACTCACAGCTGAGGCGAAAGCCAACATGCTAGCCAATCTCCAGCTCGAAATCAACTCTCGCAAAGAGAAGCTGCGAGCGCAATGCGATGCACAATGCGCCAGTCTGCAGTCGCGCCTGGAGAGACGCGTCAACCGCATCCCTACCGTGACGCGACAAACCACGCTACTTGATCTCCTCAAGGCATCCGCACCAGCGCAACCAGTCGCCGCGCCTGCTCCAGCGACCAAGACCACCGTCACCAAGAAAACATCTGCGCCTGCGCCGGCACCTGCCACACGCAAGACACGCACCGCTCCTCCCACAAACCCCAGTTCATCTGCCGCAGCAACCTCATCACCCGACAACAGGCGCGTCAAAACTGCCCCAAAAACGACTAAACCAACACCTAGCTACGCCAAAGCGACGCAGACAACGCGCACCAAGAAGCGCAGCAGCGACGAGATGTCAGGAACAGACAAGGAGAACGCAGAGATGCAAGTACCCAAGAAGCGCACAAGGGCACCAGTCCAGAAACCAGCGTCTGCAGCTCCCACAACTCGTGCAACCCGCGCAGCATCCCGCACCAAAACGACTAAATCACACGTCTTGTCGCCTAAGACCAATACCGCCAATGTCAAGAAGCCAGCTGCGCGTAGCGCCCGTCCTAGGTAGCGCCCTTAGGCGGACATCGATTACTACAGCATTGATTATACGGCATTCATTGTTTTTGGCGTTTGATACCCTCTCGTTATTGCATTTAAGCGGCGTTGAAGGGAGTTTTTTTTTTGGATTTTGGCTTTCACCTCCGCCCTGGCTTGAATGAAGGGCTCTGTTGATTGTAGCCGCCCGCAAGGGCAGGCTCTCACGGGGTTCCTGAACACAGCCGGATGGAGTTACAAGCAGATTTGATGTTTCTTGTACATGGCTTCTTTTTTATTCCCTTTGAAATTGGCAGTTTGGCTTGGTAGTAGCATAACGATGAAGCTCAAGTAGCGCAGACAATGATGAATAATGATCAATATTTGACCTTGTAGTTTTTGCTTGCGATGACTACTTGTGAACCCGGTCCCAAAAGCTTGTGGCATACATTGGAGGTTGAAGCATACAGCCGCGCCAGGTACTCCCAGTGTGTTAGCGGAGGTTACCTCAAATACATCCTGGGCACATTTTCAGTTTGAGCCTGCTAACACGGGTTACCAAATTAACAATTTCGATATTGTGACCAAATCAAACTTGCGATGGATACATAGAAGCCCGATTCAAATGAGATAGCGAAATGCGTTATAGCTAGAAGCATACATCAACCTTTGTTCCTTCAGGCAGCTGAGGTGGATCAACACATATGCCTCTAGGATACATTATCATTTAGTCCCACTTCATGACCGCTTCCTCAACAATCGGCCTAATGACCTTCCTGCCCGCACCACTCTTATGCGTCCACACCATCTGTCTCGGTGCCAGCTCATCCGCGCGATGCCATGGCTGGAAATCAATACCCTCCTCGTTGTTCTCCAACGCCTCCTTGACTGTCTTAAACAGCGAATCCGCTTGGTCCTGATCGATACGTACGTCGTCACGGACAGTCAGGACGACTTCGCGTATCTTCTCCTTCTCGCCGTCTTTGTAGTGTTTCTTGTATTTGTTGAGTGTGATGGCGATGTCAACGCCGGCTTCAGCGGTCCAGGCGGCGTGGACGGCGAACCAGTCTGAGGATGTGTTAGTTGAGTCGTGCATCAAGAGCTGCTGAAGGTTGATGTGTAGGACTTACCAAAGAGTTCTGCAAAGTCCGTCTTGAGAATCTGTTCATCCATCGAGTAAGGAACAGATGCGAAGCCAATGCTCACAGTAGGTGTACGCGGCGAAGGAGTATCAATAATATCGCCCTTCCAGTCCCGACGCAACAAATCGCGAAGACCGAGGTTATCAATATCCTTTTGCGCGTCACTCAGCTCGTCGTCTAGGTCTTCCATTACGTCTTCTAGGCTGTCCTTTTTCCAGTTGCTGCGTGCAAGAACGCGCTTGGAAACTGCAATGTCGGTTTTGGTAGTCTTTTTACCAGTCAAGCCGCCAGAGTCGATAGCGATGGCGCTGAGAACTAATTCCAGGAGTTCATGCGGCATGTGGTATTCTTGGTCCAACTGCTCGAGCTCGTCGAGCATTTGGCGAGCTACAAGCGTGGTGCAACTTGCTACTACTTCAAAGACACGGGGTTCAGCGTCGGGAGCTGTACCGCGGTCTTTGTGGTGGTCGAAGATGCTGAGAATCTTTGCTTCGCTCCATTTGCGTAATGGGCTGCCATGGTCGACTAGCACGATGCCCTTGAGCTTCTTACCGAGAGTCTCGGGGTCTTCGGGCAGTTCGTCGAGCGTCAATAGATCCTCGTGGCCAGGCGTCATCTGCGAGTTGTCCAGAGCCAATCTGTTCTCTGGCCTCAGATCCAGCGCATGCGACGGAGTCTGGAGAAGTGCAATTGCTTTAATGGGGTTCGACGTGTTTTGGGACGAATGCTCAAGATGGTATGCCCAAGTCAGCGCCGCCGTCATGGAATCCAAATCACCACCCTCATTGCCCTGTACAATCACCCATTCTGATTCCTTGCCGGCTTGCCAGTCGATCAGAAACTCCTTCTTTGTAGCGCGACTCCATTCGCTGAAGTGGCCCACTCCGAGTGTTTTGACAAGATGCTTGGACGCGTCGAGAACTGCTTGTTGGGGCGCGCTGCGCTGGGGCATTGCGACGACGACGCGGCTGGCTGCCAGGAAGGCCGGTACGAGGGCGCGAATGGCCTTCATCGTAAAGAAACAAGTGCGATGATAGTACTAAGATGAAGATTACTGTGTAAGACCAAAGTCACCATCTCTCAGGTACGGATGCGCCCAGGATGCACAGCTACGTCAACGTTGGCCCGGGCGTGGCCAGCTAGGTCTCGTTTCAGCCCTATGGGGAACGGCTGTTGAGTCCAGACGTATGGTCTTGAAAACCTGCCTGTAAGCGATTTCTGTTGAGTTCAATAAGGAGAGCATAAACGAATAAACGATAATGCAAATGAGGGTATCCACTGTTCCTATGCACAATCGAGATGCACGCGCATCGCGACTAGTCAAATGCCATGCTGCCGCTCTGCTGCAGAGACTGGTCGCAGCTGACAGCGACACGTTCATCGCACATGGTGTGGGTGTTGTACAACAGATTATTAATACAAGCTGCATGCGCAGAGGTCAGCAACCCCAGATATGTCTGCACTCCGCAAAGATTGGGATATGACGTAATGTTTCACGGTGCGATTTGCGGTCGTGGAATGAATTCATAGTCCGCACCACTCGGATCTTCGCACGAGCCGCAGTAGCCGAAGCACTACAAGACGGTTAGCTTTGAATCCGCGCGAGCAGAAAGCTTGACTGTGTTTTCCAAGACCCCTCTCACGCCCTTATTCCTGAAAATCGTTATCATCGCCGTGCCAACGCGACTCTTTCCTATCATAGCGCGCGTCTAACCCTTTTGCTTATGACGGATTGCGGAGACGCTGCTGACTGAACCATGAACTAAAGCCACGCCGGTCGCGGCCGGAATGCTGCACGCTTAGGAAGACACTACTTTTACCCCAACGCCTCAACGCTCACCCAAACTGATCCTTTTCCTGGGGTTCTCTCGTCGCAATCGCTGCCACGATGGATCAAGGACAAGGCGAGCAGGGACGTCCGTTGGCGTCGTCGTCAACTTCGACCACTACCACCTCTGGTCCACACACAACAACCACAACAACCTCGACCGCGCCTGGCCACGGCGTGACCGTGCAACATTTCGGGCCACAGTCCACCACAATCACACACCCTACCGTCACCACCATGACCCGCACACCGTCCGCCCAGCCCTCCATGTCTGACCTATACGCGCCTCCCTCAAATCCTGCCCAGCGCGTGCGCAGTTCGTCAATCCGCATACGAAGACCTTCGCACCAGCCAAGTCTGAATACTCCTCAAGCTACGCCCGATCCTGTCGCTGCGCCAGAGCCAATATCAGAATCCGACAATACATGGCAGGCTGGTCGAAGACGAAGTAGCTCCGAACCGCGCCCACCTCCACAGGCCATGTTCGCCGACGATAGTCTAAGACGCCAGTTAACAGGTCCACACCTGCAGCCTCTTTACGAGGATGGCGCAAATCCCTCTACCGCCAACGGACCGCCGCCTTCTCGAGGCCCTAGCAACGCGCGGAGAGGATTAACTCGTCAATCCTCCGCATTCCACATGAGGCGGAATCAGAAAGACCCCAACCAGAACATGATGGGCCATAACCTTGTTGATGTGCTTGATGTCATTGGTTAGTACACCCTAAGATGCTCCACGTTGATCGCGAGCTAACAAGACTTTAGATCCCGAAGTGTCTGCCCTTACTACCCTGAATAACGTTCAGAACTCGCTCTTCTTACCCAATTTGCCATGGCTCTACAACCGCCAGCCTACATACGATCTTGGACAGACTACGTCGGACTCGTCGGATGAAGAGATGGGTACAGCCAGGGGTGCCGGACGCGAGGAAGACCAACTCCCCGAGATGACACAACAAGGCGAAGTAGAGCAAGCAGCGCGCGGAGGCCGCGGAACGTTGCAAAGAAACAACACAATCGACTCGAATCTTTCAACTCTGGAAGAGGGCGAGGGCCATCACTACGCTGTGCTGCCACACGGTGCTTCCTTGACAGGCTGGACTGACGAGGAGAAGGCAGCTTTGGACGATCACGTCCGACACCTTCTCCACTCCAGGCGCGCAAGATTCAAGCGGACTATGAAGGGTTTCGGACGTTATGTCCGCAATCCCCTTGGCTTTCTCGTCACCCTATACTTCTTCCTTATTACCTTCTGGGGAGCGGCATGGGTGCTCTTCCTCATCGGCTGGATTTACGTGGGTGACCGACAGGCCTACTTCGTCGAGATTGCCGACCAGGTCCTGACTGCCTTGTTCTGTGTCGTTGGAATCACCATGTTCCCCTTCCGTATCGTCGACACCTACCACATGATTTGGGTTGCCAAATATGCACACAAGACCTGGGAAGTACGTAAGAAGCGAGGACTACAGGATCTGAAAGACCACAACGAGCTACCAACCATGCCCCGATCAAACGCGTGGGAAACAGGCGAGGCAGAACAAGAAGGCGTTGAAGCCCCTGTCCTCACCGCCGAAGAGCAAAAGAGGCTCGAATATCATCAAGCCAAGCTCGAGAAGTCACATACCTTCTACCGTCCCCACGAAACATATACACACCACGCCTTCTCCATCCGCCTCCTCATCGCCATCATCGTCCTTCTCGATTTCCACTCCATGTTCCAATGTGCACTTGGTGGTACAACCTGGGGAATCTACTACAAAGACCGTCCCAAGGAAGTCACCGCCATCATCCTGAGTTTCAGTCTTACCTGCAACATCACCGCTGGTATCATCATCGGCCGTGGCGATAAGCGCAGTCGCAAGAAGCTTGTCGTGGAACAAATCCTCCGCCAGGAAATGACGGAAGAAGCGCTCAAGAAACTACGAAAGGAGAGAGGTATCAAGGCCAAAGGACTCATGACGAAGAAGCAGAAAAAAGAGGTCAAGAAGGAATTGGTTGGTCCAAAGAAAAACCCGTTGGACACGATTTTGCATCGCGGATAGCATACTTATTCTCTTTTCTTATTAAGGTGACGATGAAGATGACGGATAGATTGCATACTTTTTTTTAATTCTATACCCTTTTGGCGGCTTGCGAACGCCTTTTGTTCTTCGTAACGAATTTGCTCCATGGACCGCTGCTGTCGTATCTCAATTCTTCTGCACTATCCGCCCTTGTCATTGCAGTGCTATTCATCTTGACTGGTCTAAAAGTACAATCGCGCTTGGGCGCTACACAGGAAACCCTTTAGGTTTTTGTTGAGTCCAAGCGGCACGACTCTTGAAGCACACAAATACCCAGATTACCGACTGTTACCAACCTCCAGCAGACGCATACAAAACGCTCCACCAACCCTCGTACTATACAAACGTCCTTCCAGTTCTAGTTTCCATACAGCGCAACTATCGCGGGCTATTGGCTGTCACACCCAGACACTTCTTCGGCACATCTTACCGAGCACTAACTCAGATGACTTAGTGCTGGATCCGATTCCAAGCCTAGAACTCATTGGCAATTTGACGTGCCGCTTTCCCCCCACCCACATTCGGATCCGATTAACTGACGATCACCACGTGTCCGACCTCGTGACGAAGTCTCAAGAAAACGCCACGATCTCATTTAGCGTCAAATGGCTGTGCAAGAAAGAATGCAAACGCGAGTCAGCCTTGAGAATGAGTTGCGAAGATCATAGAGTGCGAGTCAACAAAAGCCGTAGTAAAGCAACAAACTCTTCGTCGTTCACACTCCACCTACATATAACAGTTTCACTAGTTGTTCGGACACATAGAGCCGCTTGCCACGCTACACGGTAAGATGCGGCCAAAAGATATTCGGCGCGATAGCACTGGCAAGTTCCAGCAATCGGCGTGCCCAGGTGTGGTGTGTGTGGTGTGTCGTGACCCGAGGATTTGGAATTTTAATATCGCAAGAAAAGATCACCAAAGTCCAAGTGTGGGTGGTTTGACATGCAACCTGCAGCGACGATCCATGTTTAGAAGTTTGTGCCCCTCTTCACTAAAGCTATTAATGCATGTCGAAGAAACATGGCGCAGACATATGCCCACGTGTAGAGCGATAAGGGCCCAAAGTCCTGGGTACACGAACTGTTTTCGGACTGGAAACCGATCAACCGCTCGAGATGACGAAAACAACCATACGCCTGCCATCATGGTGGAATAATCCACTTCTGTTCTTGAGATGAGAAACCTGCGTCTCACCAACTGAAACATGGCATGTACTTTTTTTTTTCCCTAACCTTGTTCCAAGAAGCCTTTCTGAGCCTATTCACTCCTTAGATATAAACCGCCTGATGAAACGCCGCCCTACGCCCTAGTAGGTAAGTGAAAGAAAGACCCACGATGAGTGGCGAATATGTCGATGATGTCGCGTAGGATCGGTATCATAATACATCTCGATACTGAAGGAATCGTAAAACACAGTCGGTAGATGATTGAAAAGGTTGTTGATGGGCTCATCTAGTCCTAGGCGGAAAACCCTTTCCCGTCCCTAGGTGTAAAAGCAGAAAAACAACGCTTGCTGAATGTCTCTCGATGTAACACAGAATAAAAAGGACATGATGGAGTCTTGATCGTCGAGAACCATATCAGCTGTATTGCCCATACGAGCCGGTAGCGACGTGGAGAAGGGTTGCTTCAACGATGCGAATGCTCATAAGGCCGCATACCGCCAAACTCGACACCCTGCATCGCACTCGACATTGCACCCGCATGTGGTGGTGGTGCCCACTGAGCCTGTGATGGTGGTGGTGGTGGTTGCGGGAGCCCCTGTTGTTGCTGTTGCTGTTGTAGAGGTGGAAGCACATTGTTACCGGGTGCAGGAACTGTGGGTAGTCCTTGCGCAAACTGGCCAGTCATGCTTCCGTAAACATGGGTGTTGGAAGGATCTGCGCGACGAAGAGCGTTCCAGACGGCATTCAGTTCCGCCCGTAGCAATTCGTTCTCTTCTTGGGCTCTTCGATAGTACTCAGCTTCGGGTCTCAAACGGAGAAGCTCCTCACGAGCGGTTTGGTGTGCGCGAGTCAGGTTTTGGACGTATTCAATGGCTAGAGGGCACGTCAGACAAAAATGCGCAATAGTTTGACTCTCGAGTTACCTTTAGTGAGAATCTCCCATTTGCTTGACTTGCTGCCTGGGCTGTTGGGTAGAATTCCATTGAGGTCGTCGAATAAGGTTTTCATCTCACTCCTTCGCTTCCTTTCAGCCATCTTGTGACTGACCCGAAGCTCGGGAGTCCTGCTGTAGCTTCCGCTTCCGGGAGCGAGTGGGTTGGTAGGGTCAATAGCTTGTAGGCTCGTGACACTGCGATGTTGCATGGAGTGATGATGGGTACTAGGGACGTCTATGCTAATTAGTACGGCTGATGTAAAATAAGGGTGGGAATGCGTGCCATCATCCAGTCGTTGTTGACCAGGTGGTAGCTTAGAATCTGTGGTGTAGATGCTACTGTTGATCGATGTCGCAAAGCTACCTTGACGCGAGGGGACGTTTGAGCGGTCTACGCTAGACTCACCGCTGCTTGATGTCCTCTTCTCTTCATGATCAAAGTCGTCTGCCGGAAAGGCCCAAGCAAAACCCTTAGTCGGGGCCGCTGCCATAGGATCGGGCATACCAGACACGCTCCTAGGGTTGGGATTGATGACTGGAGCACGTCGTGGGGGATTGCTAGCACGTGGACCGGCTCGGTGGGGTGATAAAGGAGAAGTGCCATTAGGTCGCGTGACTGGATTTGTGATTCCGCGTTGTTGCTGGAGGTCCTGGACAAGCGAAGCTCGAGACGCGTTCTGGCTGTCGTACGGTGACTGTGGGTGGTGAATTGTGAGATGACCCATGCCAACATTCACCCGACTGTCGACACTGCTGCGTCGGGAGTCGAATTGAGAGGAGCCGGCATCAATACTTTGTCGACTGTTGTCATATGGTTGGGAGAGCGAAGGTAGACCACCATGCTGCCTTTACATTAGACGAGTTCGGGGACAGTAACCAAGTCACGTACCTGGGATGGCTGAGAGTAGCCAGAGGGATACCGAGCCGATGACGGCGTCTCTGGTACGGAATTGCGTGATGTTGAATCATCAGAAGGGTTGAGTAGTGTTTGCAACTGTAAGCCCATGTGCTGAGACACGTTGGATGAATCTAGAATGTGTATTAACAACGTGTAGTTGACAGATATCGTGTATACTCACGTTTGCTTGGGGCGATAGACCAGTGACCCGAATCTCGAACTTCACCTGCTTCTGTGTGCTGCCTAGGCTGTGCTGGGCTGTGTTCAGACGCGGGGAGACGGTTAGTGAGTTGTGATAAAGGCGGCAGAGACTGCTGGCCTTGGATGGCGTTGCTTTGCGGCATATTGCTATGCGGAAGTGGACGTTGAGAGACAGAGTCCATGGCTGTGGAGGAGCACGGGAGGAGCACGAGGCACCTTTTATACGATAGTAGTGCGTGCCCGGCTCTCGTGGTAGGGAGACAAAGATTGAGCTCGTGGTGGTAATAACTCGAATCGCTAAGAAAGCGGAGCCAGTAAGGCAGTGAGGAACACCGTTCAGCAAAAAAAAACTGGGTCAGACCACTCTGCAAGGTCGAGAAGATGGGGCCAGGTGGAAAGATGGAGAAGTAGAAGTAATAGAGGACCGGATTCCGGGGATTAGATAAGCTGTGACGTGGAATGGAAGTGGATTGCAGGGTGGTTGAAGAGGTAATTCTGAGCGAGGCCGCACGAGATATGGTTCGCTCCTCCCTGAAGTAAGGATGGCAAGTTGGGTGAAGTGGGGCACGACGAAGGGACGCCAAGACCGGTCCAACTCGAATGGAAAGCGCAGGGCAGCGACGCACGCCAATTACCGCGAGAGAGACAGAGAGGCGACAGCGATGGCTGTGATTTCCAGATATGCCGGTCGTGGAGGATGCCCAGTTCACTTGTTCTGACGACTAGCAGTCGTTCAGGGTACGAGTCGAGACAAAAGCAAGCAGTGCTCCCCGTGCAAATCTACCACGAGAGTCGATGCTAAAAAAGACGTGGCTGCAGTGCTCTCCCCGGTCGGCGGTTGCTGCGACAGGGACAACAAATTGGTTCTTTTCCCTGAACCAGTGGGCACAGCGTCCAGAGGGCGGGATCTGGAGTTGACACGATGATGGCGCCCCAAGAGGCGAGTACACGACGCAGGCGTCGAGCGAGGTGTGCTGGTTGCCGCTGCAAGAGAATTGGCCTGGTCAGGACGGCTGTGGTGCGCAGTGGGTGGATGTCGTACAGGGCGAGTGGTGAGGTCAACGCAAGACACTCACAGTGCTGCGCGCGTGGGGAAGAAGAGCAGCGCAGTCAGCAGACTACCAGGTCGAGTACATGTCCTGGGACAAGGATGGCAGCAAGGTGCACAACAAAGCAGCGGGCAGCCGGCGGTCTAGCCGTAAGTACGACGTTCGGAAGGGACCTTTTGAAAGTGGAGGAGGTGCGGCGCAACAGAAAGCTAAAGGCGACGGTTGAGTCTTGACGAGTTGCAAGGGCAGCAAGGGAGCCAGCCAATTAATGGGTATGTTGGTGCCCAGAGGTGAGCCGACCGCACGTGGGAAATCGTTCAATCGAGGCCTCGTGTATCTTAAGCAGCCCGTCTAGCGGCGGCTAGCTGCACTTAATATGGGCTCCCTGCCTCCGCGCGCGAACTGGTGCGCTTGTCATATGGCGGTGCCGATGACAGCAATCCCGCTCTGCCCACGGCCATCGAGTGGGCAGGGCAGTCTCGTCGGCTATGGCAGAGTTTGTCGTTCCGCACTTGCGTGCAGAGCAGATGCATGCATATACATACCGAATCCTGGGCGCAATAGACACGGGATGCGAGCATGGCAGGGCCTTGTAGTTTGTCGTCACTTTAGCCAAACCCGTGTTGCTATCCCGCCGCCCGCTGTACCGCCACGAGGTCCGCTAGCTCTCCACGCCTGCTACCCAACCGGCCAAAGCGCCGAGAAAAAGCAAATTCTGCGACGCTGTCCTC